TCAACATGATACCCTCTTCCTCTAACCTGACCCCTCCTCAAGCTAATTACCCCTCTCCCCTGTGCCCTTTCTCCATCTCTGGCCAGGTCTGATTTCTCCCACCCACTTGGACCTACCCTAAACACTACATCACTTACCTTGCCACTTACACTCTACCCACTTGGCACTTTTCCTCCTTGGTGATCTGCCCAGGTGGTAACCTACTCAGATGCCCTACATAACTGATGCCATGCTAACCTAGCTCCTAATCATGCGTCATCCTAGCCCTGGCACCATACAGCCTCACCAGCTGGCACACTTCCCAGCCTCACCTGGCACACTGGTACCTGATCCAACTTGCACCCTATTTACGCAGCACCCGATTCCTCCCAGCACCCTAACATTCATTTATCTTATACGCTTTGTTTGACAGCAGCTGTCAAAGTGGCTGTGATTTTAAATTTTGGATTACCGTAGCTATCAGCAGGAATGTGGTTTGTCTTCCTTTGTCAGTTCTATGCCAAGAAAGAACTGTCAAAATGGAAGTATGGCTCATCATTCCAAAGGGAGCCCTGAGCTGCATCTTCTCTCAAACATGAAGGGCTCCCATCTCTCCTAAAATAGTGGAAAGCTGAAGTGGAAACCTGTGAAATTGCCATGCCTTGGAAAAATTGACCCCACATGCCGGGTGATAACTGCTTGGCTCATTGCAACCTGCTGCTGGGGCTGTTTTGAACAGTGACCTGCTCAGAGGGGTGTTTTGTTTTTAAAGCTAGCTCAGCTGGAGAGAAGCACGCTAAGAAAAAGCTGAGTTGGGGGAAAGCTGCCAAGAACAAGCTACCCAGCCTGCCTCTCATTTCTGAAAGGAGAACCCTCCTGCTGAGTTCAGGGTGAAATCTATTTGTTTGAAAGGGTTATTGAAGAAACATCTCAAGATTGTATTTCCTGAGCAAGTAATGTCTGCAAGACATTGACGCAACAGCGCGTGTTTAGTGACTTGACCATATCAACCAGAACATTACAGCAACACACTGGGGAAGGTTCTGCTCTCTATCCTTCTGTCTTCAAGAATAACCCATCGGCCAATATTTTTTTAATTCTTCCAGAAAGTCAAGCTCTCGAAGAAACCTGCTTTATTTTCTCTCTCTGTTCCTGAAGTGTGTGTACACACTTTAGGTTTATCCAGAAGGATAAGTATTAATACTTCTAATTTACATTCTACGTTAATTAATTATTATATTGTTATTGAATACATTTTGTTTATAATAAATCCACAACTGTGTTTGTTAAAGCAAGATCTAATTGATAGATTTTGTTGTTTACAACACAATATAGATAAGGTTATCTTAATTGGTCACTTTGATAACTGCAAAGTATTTTTATTTTACATTGTGAAAGGTGGAGTATTGGGACTAGAAAGATAGTGCACTCCTTCAGCCTAAATCATTACAGCATCAAGAAACAGAAGCCATTGTTACCCTCCCAATATTGTTGGCATTACATCTTGATGCTTCGGATTTTTGTTCTTCTTTATTTTAAAGAAATGCATCACTGTTTCCACGCTGACATGTGCTAATGTGCTTTGCAATCCCTTCTGAAAATATAACCACATTAACTCTTGGACTTCAATAATTACAGCTCCCAATAAACTGCTTTTGGAGTTGCACATCCCTCAGCAGCACATTAAAGACTTCAATCAATACAGAAGAATGCATTTAATGCCAGAACAAAACAATCTAATGTGAGGAAACATTTGGCGCAATTCCCAGTCCTGAAAAGTTGCTCACTGGCTGAGAAGCTACATCTATAGTGCTGGATTGACTTATCATTAATATCTGGCATTGTTTAGTGACACCTAATAAACAGGGGATTTTCATCAGAACAGACAGCACATTTATTGTTGAAATGCCACAGAAAGCAGTTGAGGCCAAAACAGTGAATGTTTTCAAGATGGAAACAGATATAGTCCTTCAGGCTAAAGGGATGAAAGGGTTTGGGGAGAAAGTGGGAACAGGGTTCTGAGCTGGATGATCAGCTGTAATCATACTGAATGGGACAGCAGGCTCAAAGGACCAAATGGCCTACTCCTGCTCCGATTCTCTGTTCCTATGCTAATGTAATTGTTTATGTACAAAATGACTGCCTTCTACATTTTTATGAAAATGTGTTCATGGGATGTTAACGTTGCTTGGTAGCTTTGCATTTGTGCCACTTGAGAAAGTTGCAGGGAGCTGTCATGTTGAACCTCTGCAGTTCATTTGATGTAGGTGCCCCTGCAATGCCATTAGGGCTGAGAGGTAGGATTTTAACCCAGCAACAATGAAGGAACAGCGAAGTGGCTTGGACAGGTGGTGGTAGTGTTCCCATGTAGCTGATGCCCTTGTTCTTCTAAGTGGCAGAGACCCCTGGTTTGGCAGGTGCTGTCTGAGGAGCCTTGACAAGTTCTTGCAGTCCATCTTGTAGATGGTACACACTGCTGCTATTGTGCATCAGTGGTGAAGGGATTGAACTTGGAAGATGGTGGATGCAGTGCATATCAATGTGGTTGCTTTCTCCTGGATGGTGTCAAGCTTTTTGAATTATTGTTGGAGCTGCACCCATCCAGGCAAGTGGGGAGTATTCCATCAGACTCCTGACTTGAGCCTTGTAGATGAGGGACAGGCTTTGGGAAGTCAGGAGGTGTGTTACTCATGCGCAGGATTCCTAGTCTCTGACCTGCTAAATTAGCAGTGGTGCACGACATTAAAGTAGCGAAAAAAGACCAGAACATGTCATAAGCAGCAGGGTCAACCTCAACTGCAGCAGGAACTAAACCTTGTGTTGGTGGTCACACCACAAAGCAAAGTTGTTTCTTCCAGTTCTGGACCTGACAAGGCTCAAATTACAGTGCAAACTACGTTTGTCCCCGAACCAGAACCATGAATGTGGGAAACAGGACGTGTGAGTACGTCTTTTGGCCCAACGTATCTGCTCCACCATTCAACTGGATCATGGCTCAAAGCTGCTTTAGAGTGATTTAGTTAAGCTGTGGGGTGAATGGTCAATTGACTCAGCTGCTAGTCAATATATTTTGACTATACATCCCTCGTATGACCTTATCAAAACATATACCAGAAGGGGACTTAATGGGGTAGATGCTGAAATAACGCCTCCCCTTGTGAAAGAGACAAGAATGAGGGAAACACAATTTAAAGACAAAGGATCTACCATTTAAGGCAAAGATGGGGAGTTGGCTTTTCTCTCAGAGGCACATGGGTTTGTAGATCTCCCATCCCCAGAAACCTGTAGAGGTAGGGTCATTGAGCGTATTTAAGGCAGAAGGAGAGTTAAAATTTTATCAGGGGTTTGTGGGAAAGTGGGGATGAAGTCACAGTTAGATTCTTCCATGATCTTGTTAAACAGTTACAAGGGCAGGAGGGGCCGTAGATGGGGGTGGTGGGGTGGGCTGGGGCTAGTGGGGACAGCCTGGGGGTGGGGCGTTGGAAGGCCTGGGCTCCATATATCCCCTAGGAATGGTTCTGTGCAAAGCTACACATCCCTTGAATGAACACATTTTCATAAAAACGTAGAAGGCGGTTCATTTTGTACATAAACAATTACATTAGCATAGGAACAGAGAATCGGAGCAGGAGTAGGCCATTTGGCCCTTTGAGCCTGCTGTCCCATTCAGTATGATCATGGCTGATCATCCAGCTCAGAACCCTGCTCCCACTTTCTCCCCAAATCCTTTCACCCTTCTCAACCTGTTTTAGTGTTAGAAAAGTTCTTTGTTAAGGCCTTTGAAATATCGGCTTGAGATAGTTTAACTGACGTGCAATGTCACTTTCCCAGCTACTTTTACCAGAGCTGAATAAACCAGTCAGTGCACTTGCTAAAATATTAGCATTAATTTAAAATAAAGTGGTTGTACAATTTTTGAAGACCCTGGCTTTGAATCCATTCATGTATCAGTGCGCCCAGAGCCACCTCATTGGGATTGGAGGGTTTGAGCTAAAGGGAGAGGCTGAATAGATTGGGGCTATTCTCCCTGGAATGTCGGAGGCTGAGGGGTGACCTTACAGAGGTTTATAAAATCATGAGCGGCATGGATAGGGTGAATAGTCAAAGGAATTTTTCCCAGGGTAGGGGAGTCCATAGGTTTAAGGTGAGAGGGGAAAGATTTAAAAGGGATCTAAGGGGCAACCTTTTCATGCAGAGAGTGGTGTGTATGGAATGAGCTGCCAGAGGAAGTGGTGGAGGCTGGTACAATTGCAACATTTAAAAGGCATCTGGATGGGTATATGAATAGGAAGGGTTTAGAGGGATATGAGCCAAATGCTGGCAAATGGGACTAGATTAATTTAGCATATCTGTCAGCACCGATGAGTTTGGATCTTTCCGTGCTGAGTAACTCAATGACTCTATGATTCAATGATTCCAAAGATAAGGCCTGGGAGTGAAGCTGGGTTTGAGGACAAGGGGTGAGTTTGAAAGGCACAGAGCAATATCATTCTCTTCATAAACCTGAGACATCCATCAATATACCCTGCTTTTTACTTTTCAATATATCGAGTGCAAAACAAGCAAGGGCGATGTAAGAAAAAACTTTTCCACTGAGTGAGTAGTTTGGGTCTGGAATGCACTGTCTGGAAATGGAGGCAGGTTCAGTTGAGGCATTCAAGAGGGCACTGGGTGGTAATTTGGATAGAAATGGTGTGCAGGAATATGGGGAAAAGGCAGGAGATTGACACTGGGGGTAGAGCCGATAAAGGCACAATGGGCCAAATAGCCTCTTCCTGCACCATAATAATTGTGATCTCATTTCTTTAAGTGGGTGGCCCCTTTAAATGTTTCTGCTCAGCCAAGTCTAAAGGGTTCAAGACTTTGCATCCCCCCCAGTGGACCTCATCAAAACATTTCACAACACATTTTGTTTCCCTGAAGATGCAACAATGACCTAAGCAATTTTCCAAATTCATTCGCACCAGATCTCATTTGTTTTTTTTAGTGCTGATGAAAAGGTGTCTGTTGGAATCACTCACCCTTACAGTCAATATAAACCCTGAGCTGTACAGGGGATTTTCTCGATCCAGCGGGCCGTTCAGAGTCAGAGCTCCACTGATGTAATCTAAGGCAAAGATACTGTTGGTGTTACCTGTGGAAACAAAACCAGTCCAGTCTGTTATTCGCCCAGAGCAGATGGACAGCGCATAAGCAACAAAAAAAACCCCTCTAAACAGCCTTTTGTCATCCATTGGAGACAGGCTGGATCAACTGTAACAGCCTTTACTTAATGACAGGCTAAACAATAACACAGAATTACAGAGGTCTCCAGCAAAGGCAGAATAAATGTTTGATAAGTCAAGTGTGGGTCCCTTGCCAGCGAGAAAGCAAATGAAACAAAACCATTATGGTTGGTACAAACTCAGAGCAAACAAACACAAAAAAAAAACCAGAATCGACACCCCTCAGCTCATTGGCATTCAAGTTTGTACGTCATCTTTCCGACATGAGGACATGTAGTTCAGGTGTTATAACACAGCTGTTTAGAAAACACTTGCCTGAAGTTAACATTGCTCTGTTGGATGGTCACACTAATGAAATGGTCTTGGACACTCTGCACCAATGATGCAGATTAAAAAGCAATCAAGTTACCGTACTGAGAAACCCACCAGGCATGCTGACAGATTCGGGACGGCCAGGCTTTGAAACCTCTGCTCAAATTTGCCAAATATATGACAGGGCAGAAAAAAACAATCAAAACCACTTTGGCTGAAGCGGCAGCAGCAATATTTTCTGAGAATTACGGCCAGGCCATTCAGGAGAGATGTTAGGAAGCACCTCTGCGCATGAATGGTGGTGGAGGTTTGGAATTCTCTTCCACAAACAGCAGTGGATGGAGGATCAGTTGTTAATTTTAAACCTGAGATAGAAAGCTTTTTGTCTGCAAAGGTATTGAGAGATATGGACCAAAGGCAAGTATGTGCAGTAAACGACCATAAATATAGGAGCAGAATTAGGCAATTCGGCCCATCGAGTCTGCTCCACCATTCAATCGTGGCTGATATGTTTCTCAACACCATTCTCCTGCTCTCTCTCCATATTCCTTGATCCCATTACTAATCACAAACCTATCTATCTCTGTCTTAAAGATACTCAATGACTTGGCCCCCACCAGCTCTCTCCAATAATGAGTTCCACGGATTCACCACCGTCTGGTCGAAGGAATTTCTCCTTATCTCAGTTCTAAGGGATCATCCCTTTAATCTGAAGATGTGCCCGAGGGTCCCAGTCTCTCCTAATGGTAGAAACATCTTCTCCACGTCCACTCTATCCAGGCCTCTCAGCATCCTGTAAGTTTCAATTAGATCCCTCTCATCCTTCTAAACTCCACTGAATACAGACCCAGAGCCCTCAACTGCTCCTCATATGACAATCCCTCTCTTCCTGAGATCTTCTCAAGATCCCCTCCAAGGCCAGCACATCCTTCCTTAGATGCAGGGCCCAAAACTGCTCACAATATTCCAAATGCAGTCTGACTACAGCCTGTCTCAACGGTACATCTCTGTTCTTGTGGTCTGGCCTTCTCCAAATAATTTTTTTAAAAAAGTCATTTTGTGGAATGTGGGTGTTGCTGGCTGGTCAGCATTTATTGTCCATCCTAGTTGCCCTTGAGAAGGTGGTAGTGAGCTGCTTTCTTGAACCGCTGCAGTCCACCTGCTGTGGGTTAACTCAAAATGCCATAAGGAAGCAAATTCCAGGATTTTGACCCAGCAACAGTGAAGGAACGGTGATATGATTCCAAGTCGGGATGGTGAGTGGCTTAGAGAGAAACTTGCAGGTGATAGTGTTCCCATGTATCTGCTGCCCTTGTCCTTCTCAATGGAAGTGGTTGTGGGTTTGGAAGGTGTTGTCTGAGGATTTTTGGTGAATGCTAACTTTGCATTTGCTTTCCTAACTGCCAACTGAACCTACGTTAAACGTAAGAGAATCCCAAACTAGGCCTCCCACGTCCCTTTGTGCATCAGATTTCCAAAGCCTTTCCCTGTTTAGAAAATAGTCTTCATATCAATTTTTTTTTAATAAAGTACATAACCTCACACTTTCCCACATTGTACTCTATCTGCCACTTCTTTGCCCGCTCTCCCAGTCTGTCCCAGTCCTTCTGCAATCTCACTGAATGGCTCGAAAGGCCAATCTTTTTCCTTGTCCCGTTTTTTGTTGGTAAATCCAATTCTCTTTGAAAAAGATTCCCTCTGAATTTGTTTCCACTGTTCTTTCAGGCACCATATTCTCCAAACAAGTGACCCTGGGCACTGATTCTGTCGAGCCTGAATCAGAGTTTGCGGCTGCACTGTAATGTGGATGCTTGCTTTATTTCCAAATCCCACCCACCACTAAGCAGTTCATTTTAAATTTTCTCAATATTTTGTTTAGTTTTGCTGGGACCTCCCACGTCTAGATGAGTAAAACAATTTACCTCACAGGACTTGAACTGCAAACAACGAATAAAAGTAGGCCACTCGGTCTTTCAACCCTGCCCTGCCATTCAATGAGATCATGGCTGATCACATTTTCGCCTCAGCTCTACATTCCTGCTTATCCCTGCCAATCCTTCATCCCCCTTGGTCATCAAGTATCTCTACTTCCTTAAAAAAATGCTCAATCTCTAGCTACAGAAACTCCTACAAACCAGGAGGAGGAGTAATCCATTTGGACCAACAAGCCCAATCCACCATAGAAAATGATCATGGCTGATCTTCTATCTTAACACCATTACTCCCAAGCTCTCCCTATACCCTTTGACACCTTTTACTTCTAGGTATCTATCCATCTCGTTGTTGAACATATTCAGTGACTCTGCCTCCATAGCCTTCTGTGGAACAGAGCTCCACAAATTTACCATCCTCTGAGCGAAGAAATTTCTCCCAATCTCAGTTTGAAATGGCTGATCACATATTCTGAGCGAGTAACCCCTTGTCAAGGGGAACATCATCTCTGCATCCATTCTGTCCAGACCGGACAGAATTTTACACATTTCATTCAGAACTTCTTTCATTTTCTAAATTCTAGTGAATCCCTTTAGTTTCCTTTAGAGTCACAGAGTTGTACAGCATGGAAACAGACCCTTCGGTCCAACGTGTCCATGCCGACCAGTTATCCTATATAAATGTAGTCCCATTTGCTAGCATTTGGCCAAAATTCCTCTAAACCTTTTCTATTCAGGCACCCCTCTAAATGCCTCTTAAATATTGCAATTGTACCAGCCTCCACCACTTCCTCTGCCAGCTCATTCCATACACGCATCGCCCTCTGCGCGAAAAAGCTGCCCCTTAGGACCCTTTTAAATCTTTCCCCTGTCACCTTTAGCCTATGCCTTCTAGTTTTGGACTCCCCTTCCCTGGGGAAAAGACTTTACCTGTTTATCCTATCCATGCTCGTCATTGTTTTATAAACCTCTACAATGTCACCCCTCAGTCTCCGACGCTCCAGAGAAAACAGCCCCGGCTTATTCAGCCTCTCCCTGTACTCAAACTCTCCAAAACCGGCAACATCCTTATCAATCATTTCAGTGTCCTTTCAGGTTTAACAACATGTCTTGTTCTGATGAAACCTCATTAGCCCAAAATGCTATCCCTGTTCTCTCTCCACAGACACTGCCTGACTCGGTAAACAGCACCGGAATTTTCTGTTTTTATTTAGAACTGCATGCATGAAGTTAAACTCATAAAGCAATCAAACAGGCGACTCCCTTGGTGCTGTGCTATTTGCAAACTTTTCAAGTGCCTTGGAAGATTCTTAATGAAATACAATGATCCTTTCAAAACGTTGCCCTTTCATTATTTATATGTTGCTGCAGTGTGCAATTGCAGCGAGGAGATATAAAGCATATTCTCCAACAATATGAACAAAGATATGAAAGTTTTATTACTGCAAATGTTCACATTTTCGAAGCAGTTTTATTCTATTTGACCAGAGCTTGATAAAGTCCCTCGCTGCCTGCATCAAAACCTAGACAAATTGAACACTGGCTGAATGCTAAAGTGTCACCGAAGAAGATATGCTTATCGCTTCAAAACACAGTTTGATTCTGAGCCGACACAAATCTGCTTTCCACTGAAATTTTGCTCCAAGTGCCGCTGTTGCTCTAACAAAGCAGCAAGCGGAGGCACCTGATCTGATACTAAACAAGTCCGCACAGTAACACATCCATCAACATCCTGGGGTGGGGACTGCACACTATTGACCAGAAACTTAACGAGACCGGCCATTTAAATATTGAAAGTGAGTTATCCCCCGGACTGGGAGTCAAGGACAGGTATCTTCCCTCTCGACTCTCCCAAAGTTTGTCCCCTGTCTACAAGGCACATGTAAGGAGAATGATGGAATGCTCTCCACTTCCTCCCATCAGTGTGTCACTGCACGCCTTTACTTTCAAGCTGAAGCCATCATGGCCTTCCCGTTTCAGCCACGGATTCTGCAATTCTCACTTTCTTTCTCATTGGAATATATCTTCGTTGGTTTTAAGGAGCGCTTCGAAGGTGGTGAGGAACGAGGGAGGGAGTTGAAGGCATTAGTCTGGCCATTTCAGTGTGAAAGCAGGATTGACGACAATGGGGCAAAGGTAGGGGAAATGCAAAAGATAGAGAGCTGGAAGGCAGAGGGAGATTAGGCAGCACCTTTAGTGTGAAAGGGGTGCTACAACAACAACTTGCATTCAAACAGCACCCTTCAGCGTAAACATTCTGAGGACTGTTCACAGGAGGATTATCAAACAAAACTGGATCACCTTAGATTAAGATTTTGTCCACCTGCCCCATAGGGGTGATTTAAAGATCATCTTTAAGGAGAAGAGACAGTACTGAAGAGGCTTACTGAGGGAAATCCTGAGCTTAAAATCTTGGAAGTCGAAAGCTCTGGAATCATCTTCCACAGGCTCTCTGTCTTTAAGGCATTCATTAAAACCTACCTCTTTAGCCTGGTTTTTGGACATGCGGTTCAAATTTCATTTTACACATCAAAGGCACTAAATAAATCCAAGTTGTTGTTCTGGAAAGATTTTATCTGTTAAACTTTTACAATCTGTCCACACATTCTAGCTGTTTATTTTTACTTTGTCTTTTTTTTTGTTTAAACTTTGCTGGGTTTTCATTT